AAAACTGCTTAACTTTGGGTAAGTGAAGGTTGAATTTGTGGCATTTTGCCTGGGGCTGTGCCCATTCCCCACCCTCCATTGTTGGGTCAGCATCAGAACACAGCAGTTCATGAGGACCCACAGCTTTGCTGCTGGTGTTTGATGAAGGATCTAAGGAAGGCTCCAGTGAAGACAGAGAGGAAGAAATAGAGCTAGGTACGGGGCACAGAGCTTCCATGCCCTCCCTGGGCACCATCCTCCAGGCACCGGTCACCTGTTGAATTATTCAGAGCCCTCTGAACCCTGCCCTCTTGGGCCCTTAAGGGAGGCCTCACTACACACACACACACACACACACACACACACACACACACACACAATCGATCACATCTTTGGCCATTGGTGAGCAATGCAGCGCTCAGCCTCTCTTCCCTTCCCACATGTTGGAGCTGAAAGTTTCCAATTTTATACAAAGTTGGTTCCTGTACAACCAGCCCCCACCTCAGACTAACCCAACACCCTCCAAGAGTCACCTCAGTAGAACAGAAGGTGTTCATATTGTCACATGAGAAGTGGTGTCTCCCGGGAAATGTCTAAGGAGTTTCCAGGGAGCAGGGATAACTGGACTCAAGACCAGAGGGGTTCTTGGCAGATGCATCATTTAGAGGCCCAGACAGAGGCTTATTTAGAAAGTAGGTAGACTTTTAAGGAAGAATGCAGGCAATCTCCAGGGAGAGCCCTTTGGGAGTTCTCTTAAAAGAAACTCATTGTGGGGTGGATATGGGAAGGTATATAGGAATGATATCAGTCTGGTGACCTCAAGATGGTTTTTGATAGTTTGGTCGACCTCCAGATCCTTAGGTTGACATAGTCTTTGTTATCTGATCAATAGACTTCACAGTAAACCCCCTACATTATAGGTTCCTGAAGGCATCATACCTCTTTGTTAATATAATTATTGGGGGGAAAATATCACTGCACACATAGATTTATAGATTTCTCAGGAATTTGGGAGTAACAGATCTAGAAAAGAGAGTCTCAGGATGTGACAGTCYAGGAAAAATATGTAGAACTTCTGAGTTAAAATGTTCCTTTCTTGTCCTTCCTTTATGTCTCCTTTTTACCTGTTTTTTATTTCTTCTACCCTACCTCACCCCCTACCAATTTAATCCCTTAATCATAAGGGACAATGAAGTTTGAAGATCTGTCTTCTAGGGTCACTTTGGACTGATAACAGACAATGACCCTGCCTAGGCAAGGACTGAACATCTTGTCCTGTCTAATCTACAGGGGACAAAGAAAGGCCAGGATTTGTGGGGTGTAGAACCATTCTTTGATAACCTTGAAGAAGAGTCACATGCCTGTGAGATATTAACCTCCTCCCCACCCCCATGACAGTCAATAAGCACAAAGAGTAAGAGAGTCCCTGAGTGGTACATACAAACAAACATCCTTGCTCAGCTTTCTCACTTCTTTTGCAAAATACTTGTAAATATTCTAGAGGTTCATGGAAATATTGATTGCAAATTTTGTTCAAGTCTTGGGATGGATTCCAGACTTGTCAAGGTCTTGATTCTGCAAAATCTCAAGAGGGACTGCATGAATTCTAGATTCACAGATTCAGAGAGTGTGCCCCTGTGACTTAACAGCTGTGGGAATGCTAAGGAGAACCAGAAAAGGGCCCTTTCTTTTGGGGTCAGAAGAAGTCTTCCATAAAGCATCTCATAAGGGCTTGTTGGGAGAGAGGTTGAGGAGCAATTCTGATTCTTAACACAGCAATAGGCTGTAGAGGTGACCAGGACACTGATTTCTCAGCATTGTTTTGCCAACGTAGTTTTGTTATGTAAGTCAGCCCCCTCGACTTTTCCTGGGGATCAAGGGTGCCAGGAGGTTTGAAGATAGTGAGCAATGCCAACAGCTTTAACACCTCCTGGGATACCTTTCAGACAAAGAAATGTCCATTGTCACTCTGAAGTGACCTAGCAAGTCTAAATCTAGGAATTATTTCTTTTAATAAAGGTTTTAATGACTTCTTGGGCCTTCTCAGTTGGGTCGGGTATACTTCTATCCACCCAGAAGAGGTTTCAGAAAAAAACAGAAAGAATTCAGATTCTTCCTTTATGTCTCCTTTCTAGCTATTTTAAAAATTTCTTCTATTCTACCTCAGTATCATCTCCACAAAATTCTAAGGAATTTGGGAGCACTATGTCAGGAACCAGGGTCCCAGGCCAGATATGAGAATAGAAGATTCTCCTTGTACACTCATCTTCAAGACTTTCAGGAATTCTGTCTGAGGAAATGGGGGTAGAGACCAAATGTACATTTCCTACTTCATCACAATAACACAATAACAACAAAAAGTCAGTATGGAGGAACAGAGGGGGAAAAAGAAGATGTATTCAAACCAATAGCAGAATGGCCAGCGTGAATCCATTTGGTGTAAGTTCCCTGGACAGCAGCAGGAGGTGTGGCCCTAATGGGTAACAGGCAGAGAGTCTTCAGATGCCTGGTCCTGCTCCAGGCTCTGCAGGAGTGGGTGTTGTGGTTTGGATGTGAGTTGTCCYCCAATAACTCTTTTGTGAGACAATTTCAAGAAGGTTTAGAGGAGAAATGACTGGGTTATGGAAGCCTTAACCCAATCACTGAATCAATCCCCTGATGGGATTAGCTGATTGGTAATTGAGAGCAGGTGGCTGCAGGAGGTGATTGGGGGCATACCTTTAGGGTGGAGATTTTGTCTCTGGCAAGTAGAGTCTCTCTACTTCCTGATCATTATGTGAGCTGCCTCTCTCTACCACACTCTTCCACCATGATGTTCAGCCTCACCTCAARCCCCCAGAAATGGAGCCGGCTGTGAATGGACTAAGACCTCTGAAACTGTGAGCCCTCAAATAAAATTCTCCTCCTCGACGATTGTTCTGGTGAGGTCTTTTAGTCACAGCAGCAAAAAAAGCTGACTATCTTCACAGGTATCCTATGGGTTGGGTAGTGATCTTATTTCCACTTTAGAAATGAGGAAACCAAGGAAAAGAGGGATTTAAAAAGTAGCCAGGGGAATGATAAAACCAGAAAATCAAATAACTCCTGGTGTCCTATGACTAAAATGTGATGAAACCAACCCAGCCTAGAAAATAAGTGAGTTTGGCTACACAATAGCAGAGGACTCTTGGAAGAGAGGAGAAAGGTCAGCCACTGCCCTTAAGTGTCCTCCATGGATGAGCCAAAGTAGTCTTCACAAGGCAGGAGGGAGTATTCTCTTTCCCACTCTGTGCTAAGATTTGGATGTGATATGAGCATGCCCCCCTACCCACGCCCCAGGGTTCTTGTGTTGACAACTTGGTCCTCGGTGTGGTGATATTGAGAAGTGGAGGAACCTTTAAAAGGTGGGACTTGGTAAAAGGTAATTAGGTGGGGGAGGTGGACTGAATTTATAAGAGACTAAAGTAGTAGCTCACGTGGGATCCTACACAGATCTCTAGAGGGAAGGTGGTTATAAAAAGGCAGGACTGGCCTCTCCAAGCTCTCTGGTTTCCTGTCCATACCATGTGATCCCTATCACTCTCACACCCACAGTAAGGCCATTGGTCTTGAGATGTTGCCAGAGCTGGCACCATGATGCTTGGAACTTCAGCCTCCAAAACCCTGAGTTAAATCAACCTCTTTTCAAGTTACCTAGCCTAAATATTTTGTCATAGTGTTACCCCTGTTTACTGGTGTGACGAGTCCTTGCTTCCCCAATGCTGAAGTATAACTCCAGAGAAGCACCCCAAGGCAAGTGTAGAGGGGAAAGTAGAAGCTTTATTAAGGACAGCAGAAAAGACTCCTCCCGGAGGAAGAAGGGGACCCAAGAGGTGGAATCTGTGGAAGGGGGAGGTCTTCCCTCTTGTACAGCTAAGGTCTTCATTCAGCTTTCCTGCATGCATTTCTGTGGGTTTTCCTGTCCTTTGTCCTGTTATCTTGCAGTGATAGAATGTAGGTGGGGAGACCCAAAAGGTGAGGGGCGGAGGGGGTCAGAGGAGTAATCTTGGGCAGGAAGGGCCTGAGGCCTCTTTTGATTAGCACCTCCCTATTTGCTGGGAGCTGTTTCATTAACATTTCTTTAGAATGGGCTCTGGGCCTTGGGAACTTTAACATTCCAAGTGCTGCTCTGCTTTCCCTGGCTCCATTCTCAACATGGCCTTCATTTTTTATTTGACTTGATATGAGACCCAATTTACCTAACTACACTAACTACCTATCTTTAAATCTGGCTTCAGTAGTAGCTATGGAAAACAGACTAATACACTTTAGAGGAAAAGAAAATGAGGCACAGGGAAATTAACTTACTGAAAATGGCAAGGTAAATGGTAGGATGAGGATTCCAACTGAGTAATCTAGATTCGGAGCCTGTATGTATGTGATGTAGCTCTCAATACATCATGCGCTCCTCTCCCCCGTTGGTCAGGTGAGTCATACAGAAAACAGGTAACTCTGAGGGGAAAGGATGTCCTGAAATGGAAACCAGTCATCCTGCTTTACCTCCATGGTGGGGATAACAGGTTTTTGATCTAAGCATATATATTTCAGATCATTCAATCATCGATTCACTCTTTCATTCGTAAATAAGGACTCAAAAAGCTTCTTTGTCTCTCACTGGGAAGAAGTTGGGGCTAAGTAATAGAATACAGTTATTCCAAGGAGAAACTTATTTAATCCACCTCCTCATCTTACAAATGGATGATGGCTTATCACCATTGTGTTGATAACCTGAAGCTCTGAAAAACCAATTGCCAGTGATCCTAAAACTTGCATGTGATGGTGCCTCCTCAGTGTCTACACACCTGAAGTCAGTGCCATACACCTGCAGTGGGGGCGCGCAGGGGAGGGGGATGGAAGATCTATGTTCTACAGATCTTCCAATCACCTTGATTTCCCATGAAACAGTAGTGAACTATTAGCAACAAGTACAGCATAAAAACAAAAGAAAACAAAACGCAATCTTTCATTTAATCCTTTATTTGAACATCAAATAGGTTGAGAAAATGTTTTACAGGTGCTAAAGCATCCTGCTGGATTCTTTACTTTTTCAAGGTGCAAAAGAGGTTTACAAGTGTGTTTCATTAAACAAAGCAAAGCTGCGACAAAATGGAATCACATCAGCATGAGCGCATATCACTCCATCAAACACAATTGGGCATTTGAGCCTTTTCCCATAAAACAAGAGCTCTACACTGAAGAATATGTGGTGCACCAAAAGCATCGTTTATATCTGTGAGAGAACAAAAACTGGCTTAATGTCACTTATTAATTCAAGTCTCTATGACCAATGACCTCTCTGTGAACACAAAGGGGTCCGTGTCTTAGGCACCTGTTCATGGGACTAAATGTTATTTCGAGGGTGCACAGCTCATAAAAACACACTAAAGATGGGTTTGGTTGGGACATGGCAGCATTTACATATTTAAAAAGTTCAGGCACATTTGGATGCAAAAAAAAAAAAAAAGGAAAGAACAGAAATTTTTCTTGAGTCTCTAAAAGACAGTGCAAAATTGAAGTGCCATAATAGAGGCAGTAATTATTAGAAAGTAATTTTAAATGACTTAAATAAAAGACCACACCTTAATTTAAATGGAAAAGAAATGCAGCTAGAAACAGAGCATAATCACACTAATGAAAAGATGGATATTTGGGACCACAGTTAAATTCATTTGCTCCAGTTAAGAGTAAGTAAATTTTCGGGGGATTTAATCTAGGGAGTGTGCAGTGTTATCTGGATCAACCTCCCAAGACTTGCATGGAAGAGAATCACAGTTGCCTTATGAGCTACTCTGTAACTCTATTTGCCTTTCAAAGAACTAGTTTCCCCAAGCAGATCTTCCTGTGAATATATAGTCATTACTATGGTCCTAGTGATCATCCCCAGTATCCACAGTCCGTCTCAGAGTTGCAAGTATTAATAGGAARGGATTCATAATTGGTTTCATGTAGCGATAGAAATCTTCTAAACAAGTGGCCTAAATCAAGGGCCATTTCAATGAGTAAAATTTTAAATACAGAACACCTCAATGTGATTAAGAGTAAATTATCAGTAAGTCACTTATTTATTCAGCCTCCAAAAGGCATAAGACATGGCATAGTTAAGCATATTTGCAAGACTACTAGGGAAATCTATTGAAGATTGCACTGCCTTATGGGCTGAATTTCACAATCTCCATCAATAGGGTCTTCTCTTTGGAATACCTAGTCTCCTTATTTCTGCATGATAGCATTACAGCATCATTACAGCAAGCTAGGCAGTGGGTAAAAGAAACTCAGACCCCTAACTATTCTTTGGACGTCACTGCTGATGCCACTTTCTTCCCCAGAACTCAAGCCACCATTTTGGAAATGGCTGTCAATGGAGCTAGTTATTTTTGGATTACAGTGCACAAGCAGAATACTGAAACTTGGTGCCAGAATACTTTCAATATTCTTATTCCCCTTTTTCCCATACATCAATCTCCCAAACCCACTTTCCCATCCTATCTGTATCCTCCAGGTAGATCATGTCTTTCAAACTTTAAGTTGGCTCAAAGTGGGGGGAAAGGACAGGAAAAATTATTCAAAATCTACCTTATACTCTACAGCAACATCAGCTGGAAAATGTCAGCAGCTCATTATTGACACTTCAAATAAGGATAAAAAGAGATTTCCAAAATTGTTGTAATTCCCGGGCTAACATTTCAACCATCTAATGTTCTTGGCCCGTTTCAAATGTAGTAGTATCTTGACATGAATACAAACACAGTAGATGAATAATGTAAAACCCTCCACTGTATTATTGTTTGGATTTAGCTGGTATTACATCATCTATAGTCCTAGAGGTTTTTTTTTTTATTTTGTTTTTATTTTTTTTAAAAGAAAATCTCAGTATAAACATTAAAAAGAACCCACTGACCCATTAGCTACTGTCCAAAAATATTACTACTGATATTTTGGTAAAAGCAAAATTAGCTGCCCTGAATAATTTTCCTTTTCAGGCATAATCTCTGCTACATAAGATTGTCTTATCATTCAATATCCAACAATAGGCATGTGGATTAGTGCTATTTTGTCTACTGTGGATACAAAAGTTGATATGAAATGTGATCTTCATTTAAATGAATAATCACCAGGTTTCAGGCATCAATAACTGCATACATGACAAAGGTAACTTGAAAAGTATACAAAAAAGCTAAATATTTTTCCTTGGTTTTTGCATGTTAACCCAGTCAAATTAAATCCAGAACAGAATCATTACATTCAATTGTCTGATAAACAAGCAATGCAATCTCAAAAAAATATATATTATACTATATAAGGTGCTTCTTAAACAAACAACAAAAGAATTATGTTCTTAAACATATTCTTAATGCAGATACATAAAATTGCCCCCAAATTTAGATGCTCATATAAATGGAAAAAAAAAAATTTTTTTTCTTGGCCCCCCCAGTTTCCCAGTCCTTTGGTAGAAATTTAACTGGGCAACCAGAAATTAATCAAACTTGCTTTTCCAAACAGGACATACCAAGAGAAGCCTAGTAGCTCTCCAGGGGTGTTGGCAAACATGTCACTTCTCAATGGGGTTCGAATTACAGACTATGAAGTCAGGGAAGGAAATCAAACTTACTTCTTAGCTTAAAAAAAGGAAATAGCCCACAATTGCATTAAAGAAGCAAAGACCCCAATGCTGGTCTCCTCCTGGCTTATGAAGTTTTAGGACAGGAGATGGGGGGTGGGGCGGGGAGGGGCCGATTTCTTCCCAAGGGCATGTGCGGTCTCACCAGCCCCCACAGCCTGAGTCCAGTGCTCCTGTCACTTCTCTCCTTCCCTCCTTCCCTGCCAGGAGCATGCTGGGCCAACTATAGGCACACAGCTATCCACTGCTGTTCTTCCAATGAGGACCACTCAGAAAGCAAGAAGGGCAGACTACCCTGTGGACCCTAGAACAGCCCACTGTGCACTGCAGGGTGGAGGGCCTGGGAGATGCATCCTGGGAGCTGCAGCCTGTGGCCATGCTACTCTGAGCAAGGCTGACCTTGCTTTACAGATTTATCCAGTTTCTCCCCAGCTTACTTTCCTCTGGAGCAGCTACAATCATCATGCAGTGTTACTATTTAGCCCCATGCCCCAGGGCTGAAAAAAAAAAAAAATTCAAAAACCAGGAGGAAGCCGGCTCATTGAAACTCCCTTTTTGCCTGATGGGCCTGACATGTTAAAATTCAGTGGAGCTCACACCAGGAAGATCCAAGTACAGCGCCCTCTGCTGATAAATAGGAGACCCCACCGCGACAGGTCCTGAAAGCTGTTTCACTGCAAGTGCTGGGCGCAGAGGGCTTGCTTCCATAAATAAAAATTAAAACAAAAAAACTCGAGCTTGTCCCTCATACAGAGAGACTGATCTGTGTGGGGGTGACTTAATTGAAATCGACTTGCTGACTTCCCACAGGGCCTTGGGAAGCAAGAATTAGCCAGAACCCATGATCTGTATGTAGTGCTCTAGAAATACAGCAGTAGAGATGTCAGCAAGTTGACATGATCTTGACAATCAGGGGGTCTTCCTTCCCTGTGTGTGTCTTGTATTCCTAGAGGTGAAATGAATAGACAATCACTAAATATAATGCTACAGCCATGCAACAGAACAAAATGATAAAAGGCATCACCTTGATAAAGTGACACATGACTACAGGAATACAAGAGGATGCTAAGGAACCCTTGAGCTAGCTTTCTCAATGTCATAGGTTAAAAGAGCCACTATCAATTCTTTCCTGAGGCTTTTTCTTGGAGCCACCACAAAGTGCTTATCAGAAGTGAAATGGCCACTCTCCGGGCCTGGGCCTCAACAAGTAGTTTCAATGCACAGTCACCTCATAGGTTGAGTTCAGTCGCGAAGGGCTATGGGAATCCTCATTCTCAGTCAGGTAGCAAAGGGGGAAGAGAGCTGTTACCAAGAATTGGCCTTGGACCCCCTTTGGCTGTTCCTAACAGAAGATATATCACTAAGAACTGAGCAAGCAAATGAATGGCCACTCATACTAGAAAGCCACTGGTGGTGGATGCATGCCTGGTGTGTGCAGGAGACAGAATTCCGCTAAAGTGATGCTTGGCTTGAGTAAAATGCTGCAGGGATTCTCAGAGCTTTGGGAGAGGCCGAGAGCTCTCACATTGTGTTGGGGAAACCCTCTGCTTCCTGGGGGATGTAGTATGTCTGCAAGGAATGTGCTGAAGTGGAGCCCGTGGTGGCCAGCAGGCTCTGGCTAGACTCCTCTGGGGACCCTCCTCCACGGCTGGCTGGGGCGTGCAGGCGGTGGGCATCCAGCATCTCCAGCAGCAAGTCGTATAGGGGCACCACGTTCTTGCACTTCATGCTGTACAGATGCTCCATGCCCTTGTTGCTGGGGAGGGGGCACAGAGAGGACCGCATTAGACACCAGCGGAGCCCCAGGACACCTGAAATTCCCAGGGGAAGTAAGAAGGACTCCAGGGACTCTTGTAAACCAGTCTCCCTTCCCGTTTAAAGACCCATCTTTGGACGGCACCTGCAGAAACCTGCAGACTGCTGAGACCCCCGTCTGGGACTTATCTTCATTTGTGTTTCATTTTCCCATCCTACAAGGGCAGTCCCACCCCCCACAAACCCACTCTCCCTCCAGTCACCTCACTGAGAGCGTACTGTTTACGCAGGTGACTTTCATCCTGGCATGAGACCCTATTCCCCTCTCTCACCTTTACAGGTAAAAAGAGAACAGGAGAGGTACAGCCAGGCAGGAGTGAGACTACGATATCTGAAGCTGTTCAAGAAGCTCCCTTGCTTMAACCTCTCCATGGCTTCCCAGCAAACTCAGAACCAAACAGAAATTTCTGTCCACACTCTCCAAGGCCCAAGTGACCTTCCTTGTCCTCCTTCACGGTTCTCATCCTGTCTTCTGTCCCTAACTCACACTCCTTAGCCACACTGGTTTTTGTGCTCTCCTGTGAAGGAACTAGGATCCTCCTAGATTTAGGGGCTCTGCACCTGCCAATCTCTCTCCCTGGATGTACTTCCCTAAATCTTCAAATGTCACCTCCTCTGGGAAGTGTCTACTACCCCCATGGCACGAGGCCTGGCCCTACAGTCTGAGCTGCTCTCTTGTGAATTGTTCCGTCTTCCTTCTTACAGTTAACACAACCTGGAATTCTCCTGTGTGCTCATGTGTGTTTATCCCCCGCCCCCCGACAGACACACACTCCACACAGACACACACACACACACACACACACAACCCAGCAAAGTACAAGTTACAGGAGGAGAGGATCTGTCCATCCTGTCATCTACCATAGCCTAGAACTGTGTCCGGAACTTGGTGAGTGTCTTGCAAATGGGGGTAAATCGGCAAGGGGAACATAGGCAAATGTCACTCCTCTCTGTCACATGCCCCTCCTCTACCCTCCACCAGCCACCTCTCTGCTGTTCTCACCACAGCATGAGGTGGGAGGGGGCTGCAACAATGACTATCTAGCTTGACATTTCTTAAGAAAGAAAATATGTATCATGAGGAGACAGGACGAAAAGAATGTCCTGGAAAATATTTGCAGTGTTGGGGGCGGAGCGGGGGGTAGGCAAGCACAGATTGGGGTCCTGGGGTGGAAACCCAGCATCAGAGTCATCCAGGTCTACAGCCYATCCTAGATGATGTGTTATTTTGTTACTGTTTTGCTATTTAATTTAGATGCTGTTAAAGTTAAATGCCCCCTGGATCCGCCACTGTTTGCTTGTGCAATGTAATGGATCACATTTACAGTCAGATGAAATCTGGTGTTAAATTCTTTGAATAGCAGCATATGGCTGGAGCCACGCTTGTCAAAACAGAGTTCTGGGACTTAGATTAGCTGTCGTGAGGCACCAAAATATTATTTTGTATATGTGTATGCGTGAGAGAGACAGAGGGGTATGGGAATGGAGGGAGGGAGAGAAAGAGAGAGAGAAGAAGAGAGAAAGAGAGTGAGGGGGTGGGACACTCAAAGCTTTCAATAAAACAGCATCTTTCTCTAGTTTTTCACACAATTCCTCAAGAAATTCTAACAGAGCTTCCACTCTGCTGTGCCCAGTAAAATCAGCCAGGGCTGGATGTCTAGTGCCAGTATACTTAATATATAACCCGTTTAGCTTGCTAATGCTGTCAGACTGTTAATGAATTTGATTGGTCATCGATTCCTATCAACAAATAAACACATCCATGGGGTGTGGGATTTCTATAACATGCCTGAAATTCCCAGCTCAAAGTAAAAGACGGTCTGTTTTCTTCCAGGTAAGGTTATTGTCTACACCAGGTAATCCGGCAGGATATATGATATTCTGAGCCATTTTTCTGCTTCTTTCTCTAGGAGGCTCATCAAAAGGCAAAGACAGGAAAGGGCTGGATTGTTAACCCTGGTGCAATCACCCACTGTACCTGGCAGTGTGAGTCCTTCGTCTGCTACACAGGGATTCTTGGGGAATCCTGAGAACAGAGATTGTAATCACTTTCTCCCAACTTACCCAAGTGGAATTATTTACTTATGAATTTCAAATTCATAGGAAGAGGAAAACCTATCAGGACTCATTTGTTCACTGATTCATTCTCTCATTCATTCATTCACTCGGTTATAATTTTATGAGTGCATTTTGTATGTAAGTATTCATCTACAGCACTCTGGGGGATATAAAGGAAAAAAGGTACTTCGCTTTTCTTAAGAATCTAACAATTTTGCAAGATTGTCTCCAGAAAGGAGACAACTAGGACTTTGATGGGAAAAACTTCTTGCCATTTGAATCATACAGCTAAAGATTAAATGAAGCTCCCTTGAAAATGAACTATTTCCACTCCCTCTAAACATCTTGGTCCTTTCCTCAAAGATACCTCTTTTTGATTYCTAGGGTCCTTGTATAAGTTCAAGGTCATGCAGGTTTTATCACCCATGGTACTTGTCTCTAGTGCTATCATTTCATATCATTGTCATTATCGTGAACTTTCTGGAGTCTGTGATGAAGAATCCATATTTTCTTCATCTCTTCCCTGCAGGCTGAGCTCTGCCTATGAGAATGGCATCCCCTAAGCCTGTTGGCAGCCAAGTTTCATGATTCTTTAGAAAAGAAATGAGGCTACCTTTATGTTTTGGCATAAAGAGATTCTATTTTCTCTGTAAATAATATTCACTGCATTTTACTATGTGCTTAGCACTGTGCTGGGTTGTGTAGGGTATACAGGGTAAGACAAATTGTGATCATAGCCTCACAGAGTTTACGGTCTATTTGGKCAGGAGGTTAATGAAATGGGCAATAACAATTAAGAAGAACAAGTCTAAAGGRTCAGGTCATACTTTCCAGAAAGGAGAGAGATCTAAGTGATGACAAGTTTGATTACTATTTAGAAATATTCACACACACACACACCCTGGCCACCATGTGTCCATGATACTTGACTTTGGGTTTCACCACCTGACTTGGTTGCTAGGGAAAGTTAATGGAAATGACGCACTTGCCCAAAAGGGCTTGCTTCATCTGCCTGTGCCCAGCACACGCCAACCTGTGGGTGCAAGGAAGATGCACCAGACACATAAAGCTGTCAGCTGGCCTACCTGTAGGGCTGCAGCATGAAGCAGACTCTCCCACCTGTGCCCTACAGATGTGTGAGTGCATCCAGTGGAGATCAGCAGAGCTGCCTGGCCCATCTGCGGCCTGAGGTGCAGGCTCCCGGAGGACTTAGAGAGCAGCTTACTATGGAGGCAGGGCTCAGACTACAAGGAGGTCCCTGTAAGTTAAGTAGGGCTGGACCACGAGGAGTAACATAAACAAAATGAAGGGATTTATATAACTTTTATTTAAAAGCAATGGGAAGCCCCTGAGAGATTTTAAGCAGGGAGATAACATGATCAGATTTGGTATAAGAATGATCACTCTGGCTACATCACGCAGGATAGTTTGAAAGGGCCAAGATTAAAGGCAGACAGACATGTTAGGTGGCTGGTACAGAAAGGACAGTGGAAATGGAATAGAGATGACAAGGAGGGGTTAAGGAGCTATGGAGAGGTCAAGTTTGACAAGGTTGGGCATCTCAACAGTCTGTCATTTAGGATCTCTGAGTGTAACTCAGGCGAGCTTGGCAGGGAGCAGGAGGGATGTGCCCCTTCAGGAGAGGGGCATGTGCTGACTGACTTGCTTTGATTGGCCTCCTCCCCCACCCATAAGACYTTGCACATGCTTCCAACCCAGCACACACACCACACTCTCTATGAAGCATTCTCCAACACTTRCCCCATGACCTAGGCAGAGCAGCGCCTCCCTCCTCTATCCTACCATAACCTGTGAGCTTATTATGTRCCCAGAACTGTCCAAGGGTGCTCTCCATATATAGGCAGTGGTCCTTCCTGAGCCAGCTGTCACACAGGGCTGGGGAAAGCTTCCTTTAGGTCTCTCCCAGGGGACCCCATGGATGACTGACCTCATGTGCCGGATGTGGGAGAGGATGAGCAGGAGCTGGGCCAGGCGCCGGTGCTGCTGCTGCAGGGTCAGGCCTGCCTTGGCCATCAGGTGGATCAAGGTGTCTGTGATCTTATCAAGGACCCGGTGGATATGGTCCTTTTCTTCCAGAGACTTCAGGGTGCTGGACAGAAATGTGTATACTCCTGAATGTGCACAGAAAGAGAGACTCAAAGAGGATGAAGTCTTGGAGACTGCAAATGTCCCTGAGACAAAATAGTGAGCCAGAGCCCATTCTGACACAGCAGTACAGCAGTAGGAACGTTCTGGAACCATTTAAGACCAAGCRACTCCATGAAATTCCTAATGAACATGCAAGTCTGGGGGCCGCCAGAAGCCAATATGGCCCCTTGTGTCTGAGTCAAGATTCCTAGGATAGAACTGTGAGCATTGGGGCTGTGGGACACTGGCCACCCTTCTGGGGTCTATCTGACACCAGTGTGAACTGTCCATTTAACACTGACCACAACCCTGTGGGGAAGCCACTATTGTTTCTTTTCAGGGCAGAGGGATGCTCTGACCTGCTACCAAGCTTGCACAGTAGTTACAAAGCTTTGTTAGCACAGCTGGTGATGAGAAAGCAGACTCTAGGAGTCCTGGTGGTTGCTTGGCTAAGTGACTGGAAGGTGGCTTTCCAGGTAGGATTTGCTTTGCTTCTGTGTTTCCAGTGAGATTTGGGGCCTAAGCCCTTTTCAGTGTCAGCTGATGGTTTAGGATAAGGGTGAGTGCAGAGGATCCTGGAAATAGCTGTTTCTACTCCAGGTAACCCTCTCTTGCCTTTCTCCAGCTCTCTGTGCCACAGGTAGGGTCAGGACTGCAGCCGAGACCATCATGCACTCCATTCTGGACAGTACCAGTCCTGAGCTAGACAAAAGAGACCCTTTCTGGAATTTTTTTTTCTTATGTTTGAGTTCAAATCTAGGGCCTTGCTTACTCTGGACAAGCACTCTGTCACTGAGCCAGAGCAACAGGACACCTCTCTTCTGAGGTTGTACATTGAAGTTGTAAGCTAGAAACCCCTTCTTCTAGGGTTGCTAAGCTAGGAGATGAGAATGCTGTATAGGGCTTTAAATGGCCCTCTTTCTAGTACATGAAGCTCTGATCTGCAGAAGGAGCTTAACAGCAATAAGGAGAGAGAGAGAGAGAAGAGAGAGAGAGAGAAAGAGAGAGAGAGAGAGAGAGAGAGAGAGAGAGAGAGAGAGAAAGACAGAGAGAGAGAGGTCTCTATTCAGTCACAAGACCCTAGTTCTTATATAGTTTTCATTTGACCTTTGAGTTTTCATAGTATCCTTCCTAACATGTGAATCAACAAATTCTCTCTTTGCTTAAGATAATAGGGGTTGAGTTTCTGCCRCTTTCAACAGAAAGAATCCTGACTATTCCAGTAAATTGTGAGCTGAGCCCCAGCACAAGGTGGGGAGGGTTGAGGWGTGTTAAGAAGGGCTGGATGGAATGTGCTTGTCTTGGGACCACAGATTTTCTCTCAGCTGAACCTCCAGAAATAAGCGCTTCCTGCTCAATCACACTATCTTATAGGGAGTAGAAAGCMCAGAGCTTTTCTCCTAATTATACGTTTTGCAGCACCATTTTTTGGTCTCCCTTCATTCAGCTCTCTGGCCATCTCATGACTAATTTCTCCTCCCCTCTCCTCACCAGCACCTTCAAGTTAAAATCTTCCTAGTTTGCAGCCCCCAACTTAATACTGTTAAATGTAATTCAAAAGTTACTGCCCATGCAGCAGTCTGTGGGTTGGGATTAAAGAAAACACCTCCTTAGAGGAACTTATAGTAAACAGAGTTGTAATTGCCCAGAATAGAAAATGGCTAAGGTTTAAAACAAACAAAACAACAACAACAACAACAAAATAAGAGTGGCTAGCATGCCATCAAATAGCATCAAGTCATTTTTGTTACCTGGAGGCCATGGATCCAAAATAAACAAAGCACATAATAAGCAAGCAGCAKACAGGTAGTGGGATAAGAAGGAAATTGCAAAATTCCTTCACTTACATTTCATGTGGGTTGTTGACAGAGAAAGAATGTGTCTATCAGAAAAATGGGCAATGTCCAGTAGCCATGGGGTTGGATTGGACGTAGCACGCAGCATGGAGATATGCAAGGGTGGGTTGGGGTCAGGGATGGCCCTGGCTAAGCTCCCCATGGGCTCTGCCTCTCAAGGTCTGTCCTTTATGTCATCATTCACAGTCCAGCTTCATCTGCTACAGGTCCTGCCATGGACTGGATATGCTGGGAACTCACCCAGGCCACAAGGCTAAGTCAGTCCAACTTGAATGATGCAATTTCTACTAATTTCCTTTTCTGTTACCACCCAGGATACTGGCCTCATTCACCAGTGACCCCTTCCTTGTTCAAGGGAACCCAGAAACGAGGGTCAAACAGCACAGAGGGTCCTGTTTGACCCTTGTGCTTCACTTCTCCTCCTACTGTGGGCTCAGTGGCAAAGCACACACTCTAGACCTTCATCAGTCCTGGGGRCCAGCATTTCACGATGCACTTTCCAGTGGAGGTAAAGGAGGCAGCACTCAGGCTTGAGCAAGTCAAGTTTTCTCTTGGCCTGCCAATTGCCTGTCCCCCTCAATGAGCATGGCTGCATGGGTTCCTTCATCCAGCAAGCAATAACTGAGAACCTATTGTGTGCATCACTGTGCTCTTTGATAGGGATTCCATGCCTTATTTCCTTTCAAGTGTTAATATTTTAAGAGCAGATATTGCCTGTGGAGAGAGGATTTTCTTAACAGTGACTCTCGAGATGTGGGCCATTCTCAGAACAAGCCTGTTTTTCCAGTCCTGCTCTGGCACCAGTACAGCTTATCATCTCATCCTTGTCAGCAGATGCTTCCTAGCTGTGCAAATATACTTAGAAATAAAAATACAGCCCTGTAAAAATGCCAATAATTGACAACAGCAGCCATCATCTTTTGGGGCCTTTCCAGCAGAATGTGGTCCATGTTTGCTGCCTATTGCCCTTAAGGAGCCGTTTGAGAAGCAACAGCAATCCAAATTCCCAGAATGCTTCAGGTTCACTGGCAACCACTGGCAATGAGCAAGAGCAAAGCAGGGCTGTTGGTAATGTCCATGTCCCAGATGGCCTCTGCAACTGCTGGAAGGCTGCTCCCTGGCTCCCTGCAGCAGGAGCCAGTGAGCAGACACTGAGAGCCTTCGGAGTCTTGCAGCAAGGCAGACTATTGCAACTCTGGAGATGGGTCCAAATCCCCAAGACAGCGCAGGGGAGAAAAGAAAGACCATTTGTATGTCCCTGCCCATGGTTGGCCTGGTAGGCAGATCTGAGATTCTACATACTCTGAATCTTGCAGCCACCATTGAGAGATTTAGAAAGAGTCTGTGGGAAACACACTGGTAGAGAAGATTGGGGAGTACAAACACACAGAGACCCCCATGCGCAAGAGATCTTGACTTTCCTCTCCTGTTCTCTGGATCTCATGAATTGGATTCTGCTCTCAGGCACCTTCTCTCCTGCATAGACACCTCTTCCTGCTTCCCTTTCCATCTTCACCCCATGCAATCTCCTCCTTATTGCTCAGCTCTTTTCTAGATAGTAGTGGCTTCTGGAAGCTGGGGGAAGGTAGGCTTGGCTCTGCAGCACACAGGTGTCTGTCTGCCACTGGCGGGAGGAAGCACAAGCAGCCCCTGGGGTCCTCAACTTGCCCTGCCATTGGCCTCCACAGGGGGGCACTGTGGTAGAGAACTGACCAATGTGGGTCCCTGGCTTACCAGCTGCTTGAGGACAAATTCTTCAAGCAAGGCCACATTCCCTTCCCCTCCCCTTTTCCAAAAGGAAGAATGTGACAATAGGCCCTGGGAGAGTTCTTCAGTCTATGGCATCTTGATAAAAGAGGGAATGGGAGGGGGAATGATTCAAAGGGAAAAAATAGCAAAGACTAAGTCCACAGCTGTCAGTGATCTGGGCCAGGACACTGTCACTGGGCTTGGATGAGGAGGAATGCCCAGCATTCATCGAGGACCCTGTGATGAATCAGCACGCTGGCATTTTTGGGTTTCTGCAGAGAACTGTTCCCACAACCAAATAGCCAAATAGTGTGTTGGCTCAGAAGTGACTTTGAGGCCCAATGGCTTGATGACCCACACTTGTGGGCTTCGCCTCAGCTAACCGTTCTTCCAGGGGGTGGTCCTGTCCCTGATGGAGTCTTGGGACAGCTCATGGTTGCTGCTGCCACTTGGTGGCAGGGGCTATGCTAGATGTCCTACAATGCTCAAGACAGCCCCAGACAAACGAGGATTTTCCCCCAATCTCTACTTCTCTTGAAAGTCCTACAATAAAAATTATTGCAAATAGAAATTTGTAAGAAAAAAATTTGAGAAGTGGGCTGGAAGTGTAGCTCAGTGGTAGGAAACTTGCCTAGTATGGGCAAGGTCCTGGGTTTCATCCCAGCAACAGACACGCACACTCACACCATTTCAAAAGCTTTCACAGGCTGTACTTAAAAGTCTAGTACACAAACTGGTTTATAGGGAGAGAAGATTAAGCAGAATGCATTTTCTCAAATTATTAAATAACTGCTTCTCTTTATGCAGTCAAGTGAGGGCATTGTATAAGCTTTCCATGTGCACATTCAGTTGGATGATTTCAGGGCTACTCTGCAGGTACTACAAAAAATAAAACCACAATTGGTTGTGAATATAGAGAGGAGATATGATACTCTTCTAAGCAAAACTAGAACAGATGATTGTAAAAGAGTAAACACCGGTGGAATATTGTGCTATTGCCTCCTATAYATTTTAAGTAACTTTATAACATTACTTATAAAGGAATCCATTTTGTGAAAAGTACATATTTAAGATATTTGGGGATTCTTATTCTTTCTGTCTTATGTTGGCACTGTCTTCTGAGTTTCCCATGTACTTCCTGATACCTCCTCTGTGTTTGGATGTTACTTTTTTCCAATCTATCATCTAGTCTATCATCTAATCTGTCATCTTTTCCAATCTATCATTTAGGATCTAGTCTCTAAGGCCTTTTCAAGTTTAAGAGACTGACTGAATATCTGTCTTGAATGTAGTGGGATATTAGGGTATGTTTCTCAACATCCCAATGTATCCCATTATCCTAGCCTATTAAGATAGGAGAGTTGGCACTTTCTCATCCT